GTTTCCCCACACTCCTTCTCTCTGGCGCTGGCTCAGTAAATGAGAAACAGGGAGGCAGAGATGGGGAGGTTACGTGTGCTGGGTAGTTAAACGGTGACACACACATAAATCCACACGGATGTATACACACGCAGACGCACGCCCGCAGATGTATAAATACACGCGCACGAGCACACAGTCCCAGTCAAACATCATAAACAGCACATTACTCTTTGATTGAAAGACAAGCATTTGTGTTGCCATATATTTGCCGTGCCGCTAAACTGACTCCTGCATTAGTACGCGTGCACATGTATTTAAATTCTTACATGTGCGCACTCTTTTTAATGAGAGTGTTCATTTTACAGATAGCACCTCTAGGTGAAATAATTGCCAATGTTGGGCCCTGATGGCTGGTTCAAGTGTTCTCAGGCCAGTTGTCTTTATGGGCCACGGTGGGCAACGAGCACTCTCCCCACCTCCCTCACCTCCGCTTTAACAGCTGCTCTGCTGCAGCCGACACGCACATGCTATGAATACATGAGCTTAATATGCATAAGCACACAATGTAGACACCGACTTGGGCAGTAATACTGAACACACAAGCACGGGCTGAGGGAGAGGCCAGCGGAGAACAATAGTTCGTCTGACAATGGGGCTCAGAGGAATTCTATCCTCCATATTAATATTCAGGAGAGTGCATGTGGAGAGAGTGTGTGTGTGTCAGCGGGGACGCATGCTCATCAACCCAGCTAACACTGGGGTTAGGCAGCCACATGATTACAAAGTACTCAGACTTTGGTCCCCAGCCCCCTAACTATTAATCCCTAGCTCCTGCAATCTTGCTTCCTATGTCCTAGCTCCTGCCGGAGCACAGAGGAAGAGCGCCGCCAAGTATCACAGCTGTTACCTCGCCTCGTTGTTCCAAATTGTTCTGGTCAGCCGCGTGAAGCAAAGGGTGGATAGAAAAATGCATAATTAAGATTGTAATTATCGTGGTTTTAGCTTTTCAGCTTGAATCCCATTACTACCTATAATAGAAACTCATGTCAGAGCAAAGACGTGCACCGCTAAAAACAGGTTGCTGACACCACACGTATGAGCATTCAGACCATATTTCTGTGCATATGTTACCACCATCTGGAAATTTGCGAGAACGTGAACAGCTTTCAGCCTGCCCTTTCACATCTGCACACTTTTCATTCACAGTTTTACTTAGTGGCTTTAGTCTTCTGCAGCCCTCAGTTGCCGGTATTTGTTTCTTACTTCTCTCATTTGCCTCTGTCTGTCCAGCAAAAGTAAAATAAAATGCTAATATTTTACCATTATTATACAAGCAGGAGAGCAGTGAGAGCATCTGTACAGAGGCCACAGTGAAAGTCACATACTGTTGAATGCCTGTAGGCTACACAGTTGTCATTGACTGGCTCACAAAAGCAGAGCGATTTCTGGCCCCCTGAGGAATGAGACATTCTCTGTGGTCTCTGTTATGCATTAAAAAAAAAAAAACAAGAAAGAAGAAACAAGTACAACGGAAAAGATGCACAGCGGCAGGGTCAGCCAGAAATGTTTTTGACCCAAGCACGATACGGGTCACCAGAAGATGGGAAATGCTCTTTTCTTCCCCGCGCCGTCTCCTCTTTTTCACTGGTGGTGTGAGAGTATGAAGCAACAAAAGGGAAACAGTACACTGCAACTGTTTTCTGATGTCCTCATTTCAGAAAAGAGACACTAAATGGACTGCAGTTATATTCTGTGACAACCTGCAAATGGGGCGTGTGGACGAGTAGAAAATGAGACGATGTGGAAAAAGAAAGGCCACAAATGTGAAAAAGTAGCACCACTCTGGACAACTAACAATTATGATGCTGACTTCCTTTTGATAGCTTATTTAGTAAAAACCTTTAAAAGAAAAAAGAAAAACAGTCTGTTGACTATTAAGCTTTAAATCAACATAACAGCTGCACTCAGTTTCATTAGGGATCCTTTTGCATAAAAGCTTCCATAAGTAACACTGACTGTGCGTGAAAGCCCATAATTTTGTAATCTTCTTTAACGTAATATTTAAGGTCTGATGGCACTTCAAATCACACAGTTGCTGACTCACATTGACACACTGAACATGTAATTAAGCCTATAAACTCTCAGAGCTCTGTGGCTCCATTTCAAAGCGAGGCTTTTGGAAACCTCTGTCTGTCTCGGTGCCTAACAAGCACAGAAAATTCAAATGTGTCTGTAAATGCTGATCATCAGCATGGGGGATGTTTGTCTGAATATATGTCTGGGCAGTCCAAAATGACGAATGCTAAAAGTCAGTAACGTTCAGCAGTTTTTCTTATCTTCCTCAACATCTGTTAAACATCATCTCCGTGCGGCCGGCTCTCGTAAATGACAGGTGTCTTGCTTCCCAACCCGACTCTCCAGCATGCTCCTTATTTCAGTCTGCTCTCCATCTCACCTCCCCGAGCAAAGCTTCTGAAAATCCATTACAAAGAGTTTGAAGGACAGCTTGGGTATTACACAGAACTCTTCACACATCGATATTTAATGGCAGTGAGCCGGAGAAATGCGGCTCAGTCGTCTCTCCAAGTCCAACGCAGGCAGACATTTTGCCTGTGGTGGAGGAAGATTGGTGAGGAGTGTAAGAAGGGCTGAAATACTCAAAATCAATTACGGGAGCTGAGTTTTGAATTGTTTGCAAAAGTGACGCCTGATCATTACACGTAACTAGAAAATAGCAATTTAAAACGCAAACTTTTAAATGTTTTCAGTTCCGCCTGAAGGTGTGATGCGTGGAATCTGAGACGCTGCCATTGATGATAAAGTGTGCTCAGTTTTAACAGAAAGTGTCAAAGAAGTTTTAATCCTTTTACATTTACATTTACAAATTTGCATGTTGCCTTTGTCATGTGCACAAATCCGCCCTCACACAGCTAGAAATGTTGTCTTTTGAGCTGTTGAATGACAGGTCAGAAGTTGCTCTCCCTTTTTAGATTCATGATTTCCAAGGTAATTACATTTTTTTGGGGTTGATTAGACATAGTATGGGTCAGGTTTACACTTCTCAATCAAGAGAGTTTTCAAGGTATTGTTTACAGCCTTTTTGCTAGCAGTTTTAAATCACATCTATGGATATAGAAATAGACTGTGCACTGATGATTGTTTATAGAAGTGTGCCTGAGCCCATGCAATTATTTCCACCACAGAGAAATGCCCGTTTTAATGCCGTACTGCCTAAGGGAGTGCAGATCTTGGCCATATCACATTGGCTTTCCACCTTATCCACTGTAAGCAGACGTTTCAATGGATTCTGGAACGCTTGATATTACTTTACGCAGAAAATTAAATTCCCTCATTCTTTGCCATTATTCATACATACATACATACTTAAATCCACACAGTATTTCAGAGCATTGCTCCCCTCCTCATCTTTACCTCTAAAGAGACTGTGTTTGTAATTGTTTTGTGGCATTATTATTATTATTATTACTACTAGTAGTAGTACTGGTAGTGGTAGCATTGGTATAATACTTTCTCAGCTTCAACTCTGAAATGTGTTGCAGGCATTGAATTCAATACGCATTAATTATATTTGTGCTATGTATAATTAAATCCTAATTTAAATCTAATTAAATCTATGGGATTAAGTTATTCGTTGAGTTTTGGATGTCATTGGCTGATTCATAAGGTTGAAATAAATATAGCCCTTCAGTGGGCTATATTTATTACAATTATATCAATGAGATATGTGAGTATTTAATTTCTCTGTACATGTCAGTCACAAAAATGTATATTTCCCAGACGTTCGTTGTTTAATATTCCGGCCAATATTAAGCCACCTTCATCATGTATTGTGACTCGCATGGCAAATACTGTATAAATGAGTTTACTGGCCACAAAATTGATATTTATCTGGAAATGTCTTATGAAAAGGAGATCTTGTCCCACCACAACAACCATCTAACCTCAGTAGAGTGCACATTTCTTTCCATCTGTTGAAATGCCAAATATGACACAAAAACACAAACACACCAATCACTCTGGTGTTCGACTGCTGGGTGCCGGGTTTCTGCCTTTTTAAGTATCATTCATGAGTCGAAGCACAGACATAAGTCTGCTGTACTAGCTTTTTCTCAGCCACAGCATGTGTCCTTTAAAAATGAAAATAAGGACAGCTTTATTTGTCTCTATTTGTGTTTAAGCAAACTGCATGATAATTTCCCAGTTGGCTTTGTAGTCTACTTACTCTGGGATGAAGCAACTGTGAGCAGCGGAGCAGCTAATGGCTTTCATGAATCTGTCTCTGTACACTCTGTATACCTGATGAAAACCTTAAAATTCTAAAGCCTTTATATTTCACTGGGGGGTGGGGGAGATACTTGGTTTATGGTAGTTAATGAAAGCTCCGAAGCACTCTGTGAAAAAAACAGATATAAAACCTGGAGTTGTCTTAATGGGAGGATTGGGTCCACTGGGAGATGCTGTGCATATGGAGTGTTTACCTTCATAAAGTATTTTCACAAGGTACTTAATTTCAAAAGTTATAACTTTTCTCAGGGGAATAATTATTTAGTCCTTCCAATATTCCATATTGTGACAAAAGTGAAACATAATGCCATAGTGCCACAGAAAGCAAAGCGGGAACAAAAAATAGAGCTGAAGTCATTTAGTAGATCATATTTTATTTGTTTTCTAAGTAAAGACTTTTTGCCAACATGTGGACATGTGTGTATGGAAAGGCAAAGTGATCCCTTTGACTGAGAGGTAGCGTTATTAGTTCATAATTCTTTCAAATAGACAGTAACGTCAGTTTGAATTTAATTGTCTAGTCCCACCAAAACCACAGCTAATCAGTGATTGGTTGTGGTTTTACACACAGCATCCAACTTTTTTAATTGATAAATGGGAAATATACTAATATAACACCATTATAATCCCTTAACCATTTTCCATTAATATAAAGCGGTTGGTTTTTTTAAACAGAAAAGAAAGAAAAACAAATGAGTGCGGGAGGGTGGGGAATGCCTTTTCAATGGGTCTCTTGTCCAGCAGAGGAGCTGGAAATCCTGCTTTTTGGACTGCAGCTGGCATCATTAGTCCTTGCTCTGCTCTGCAGCTTTGGTGAGCTCTGGCTGGCTGCACATGCACCAGTTCACCCACTGCCGGTGCCTTCCAGCTCGCAGTGGATTTATCGAGAGCAGCTGTGCCACAGTCATGACCTTGCCATGTAGTGCAATAGAAAACGGGATGGGCCTGCTGAGCAACAGTAATAAAATGTCCTCAATGTGTATGGTACATTTTTGTATTCAATGGTGGATAGGGTTGTTCTCTCAGACAAATTCAATGTGAACTGGATGTGTTGTCTATGTGAAAGAATGGTGACCTCTTCAAGGTTTACACTCAACTCTGTCCAGTTGCAGCCGTATAGGCTTCAGCCCCGCACAACTCTAAGCAGGATAATCTGGATATACATAGGAGATCAAAGGATAGGTCATCAAATTACCCATGACATTCACTTACATACTTGGGCCCCAAGATCAGTGTTTGGGAAGCCCAGCCCCACAAAGTACCATCAACTTTTATCTTCCCTGTTAAGAGCCCCATTTTCATCATTTTGTGTTCTAATTGAAAAAAAAAAGTTTTCTCCCCAATAATTCTCATTCTCATTTTCTCTTTTCAGGTGGTTGCCCACTGACTTTCCACTAAATAGTGTGCTGAAGCAAACATCAGAGAAGTGAAAGCTACCAGAAGACTCCACTTCTACCCACCTGAGGGAGAGCGTTTCACACTAAGCCTCATCCCAGGGCTGCTCAAAGGGAACTGCATAAACTAGACACTGTCATCTGGCTTTGCCACCAGTGAGGGTGATTTGTGTGAACTGAGAGAAAAGTGATCAAACATTTAACAGAAGGGAGTGAGGCTGAAATAGAGAGAGAGAGAGAGAGAGAGAGAGAGAGAGAGAGAGAGAGTGGAAAAGAATATCTATCACCGAATCCAGCTCATAAAGCCTGGACTCTTGCCTGAGCAAACCTATTGCCTGAGGCTGTTCATTATCGTCACTGAACTGTGATGTTTATGTCGTAATAATAGTGATTGTGCAACCTGAACATCATATCCGAATCTTAATAGGACATTTAGTTGGATTTCCTCAACTGTGGGAATCGTATTTCTGTCCTCACTGTTCATCAATTAAAACCACAACCTGCCTACTCAAAGCTAGTGAAATACAGCACAACCGTTTTTTGCATGACCCTCTGCCTGCATGAGAATATAGGATTGCTTTTGACTTCTAAGAAGGACCCCTTGAGCTCTCAACTATCCTCTGACTATCTGCCCAACTGTAGCATTTGGGTGTGGTGGGGTGGCTTCAGAATTAGGCTTCTGGACTCTCACTGAAGATGACATAAGTTGGCAGGCCTAAAAGCCCCTTACACAGAGTGAGAGCAAGAGCTTGGCAGGACACGCACATACACGCGCACGCACACACAAAACACACAAATGCGGATGCTGAGGCGGCTCTGAGCCATGCTGGTGTTGCTACTTGTGGAGCCCTGGAGCACAGGCTATCATCATCCCTATCATCATTCACCCAAGCTGAGGAAGATTCAACGGCCTCAAGCAAAGAGGCTGCACTTCTGAACGATTCAAAGAAGACCGTGGAACTGCGCTAACACAGAGAGATCCAACATCCTCAGTCTCCCGTACAGACACTCGAATACTCCTCTCCACTGATCCCCGATACAGGAAAAACAAAGCTGCAGCAGACGAGGGCGACGCTGAGGCCGAGCAGGTTAGAAAACCCTCCGCAAACACATTCTGGGTCGATCAGACCTTTTACACACACACACAAACAGACCTTCTCATCACATTTAAGAACAACACACTTACACCTTGATATGAGCTGAATGATGAAGAAAGGCACACACACACACACAGAGGCACTTTGCTACAACAAAGACTTTTTTCAGAATGTGATTAAAATGTTTGGAGGCCGTAAAGAGAAAAAGAGGTGACAAAGCAGAGGTCGCGAAGGAGATGGGGGCAGGTCAGCTGCGTCGTAACGGATAAGAGTGTGAGCAGAGGAGAGGAGAAGACTGACCCTCATCAGATTTATCCAACCTCAATGTAAAGAAATCAACACACAGTAGAGGAAACAATGAAAGCGGATTGGAAGGGGAGGACAGGATGACTCCTCGGAACACTTCTGTTAACAAATCTGAACGTGAATATGAGGAAAGTTCAATAAGGGGAAGTGGGCGGACAGAAAAGGTAGATGTATTTTAAAAAAAGATACAGAAGAAACAAGAGAAAGTTGGAGAGAGCAAGAGATCGAACCTGGGAGAGAGGGAGGCAGAAAATCATAGGATAATTAAAGGGATATGTTGATTGGAAACCTTGGCATGTGGGCGAAGACACACATGCAGGCTTATGCCAAGAGGATATTTATGAAAGGGAAGGGGGAATAGTGTGGCACTGAAACATATGCTAGTTGATATTCATGGTAGCATCCCAATCTGGTCTCAGCTCTTACCGTTACACTCCCTCTTGCGTGCATGTGTTCCTTTCACTTACTTTTTCTGTCTCTCAAAAACAAAGACTGTAAGGAAAAAGTCGGATTCGATCTAAAAATAGTGTGAAGAAAATAAATGATTAAAGTCATGGTCCGTGCCAAATTGTATGACGCAAACTGTTTTTCACCTCCACATATCAAATGGTGTCTGCGTCTGGCTGAGACGGGCGCTTGTCGCTGATACAGATCTCTGTCACATAGAGACGCACGGGTACACAACATAACCGTGTAATGGTATTGAAATGCAGCTATTTTTACACCCCAGTGAAAAACACAACACACAGTCAGTGTTTCGAGTCACTCTCCTTTTTTGCAGCGAGCTCAGCTGATACCGACTTCAGTTTTCTTTGCCAGGAACTCATTTCCCCTCTCCTCCTCAGCCTCACTGTCCAACTCTCCATCTGTCTCCTCGCCTCGCATCCCTCCCTTCATCTCTTCTATTGTTGCCATCTCTTGTTTGTTTGCATGGATTTTGACTGCAGCCAAGGGGCAATTTTGCATGTAGCACTGAGTTCACATAGAAACACACCCGTACAGAGGGAGTTAGGGGAAAAAAAACTTGCCTTTAGATGATTTGTTTATCAAATGTGCTGTCAAATCATGTGAGGCATTTCACGTCAGGGCACATTTTCCAACCTCGGGCTACCTAAAAGAGGTTAGTACGCCACAATGTAATTTCAACAACTTTCACCACTGTATACAATTCCATATAAAGACCATGGTGAATGTGACCGTAGACATTATTTCATCCTATTTGTAAATTCATGTTATTGATGTCGGCATTGGGGATTAGTGAGGAGTCAAGTCATAAAATATTGACAAAGGAACATATTAATGTTGCAGAAAATGCATTTGTAAAAGATCTCACTAAAACATTTCTGGGGATTTCAGGACCACTTTCCTGAATAATTTATAGAAAATTTCACGAACAATAACTGCTGAGGGAAAACATGCATTAAACATGTCAGCTTTTATTGACTGTTCACTGTGTGAGTGCTTTGTACTCAGTATGCTTATTAATTTGCGTGATACTCTCTTTGTATGCTTTGGTTGTGACCTCTCACAGGCATGCTGTTTATCTGACTTAATGGTCATAAACCTGTGAAATTCTGCTATTCTGTTGCGTGCTCATTATAAATTTATTTCAGGGTCAGATCTAGAGCTGTCACTTCTTTGTTCTTCTTGCTTTGTTTAAAGCCATCAACTATAGTGTAGGCAGTTAATCTGATATCCTTCTCTCTGATCTTTTGTCGGTCTTAGTTTCATGTCAGTCACCCCGATTCAGTTAATCTCCCTGCAAAACAAAGAAAAACTCTTCTCTTATTTTCCCTCACTTCAACTGTCACTGTCCAATTTATCCATTTCTGTTGTCCCTTTTCTTTCTCTCTGATTCCTGTAATTGCTCAGTCACTCCACCCCTCATTGCACTCTCTGCCTCTAAATGTCAGTTTGTTTTCTGCATGGTTGCTCTGACCCATATACTGGGGAGGTTCTCTTAAATGCAGCTGACTATATTCTCACATCATCCAAACTTTAGAGTTTTAACTTTTTCCATCAAGTACAACAAAACAACACTGGACATGAGCAATTTAAAGAAGAATAAACTGTGAAACTCTTTGTCATCTTAAGGAAACATATTAAGCCCCTTCGATTTAAGGATTACTGGGTGATATTTGCTTGAATATTAATCCGATTTCCCATTTTCTCTCTTTCAATCAGGAGCTGCGCAGAAAGATGGCAGCTGAGAATCTTGCTGAACTTCGTGATTGGCTCTTCCTGCTCCTCCTGGTCCTCACCTTATTGGCCGAGGTACTGGAGCTGGCGGCAGCAGCAATTGCCATGGAGACGGGCGAGGGAGATGATGGCATTGTTTGTCCCTCAGTGTGCCGCTGTGATGTGGGCTTTGTATACTGCAACGACCGCGGCCTGAGTATAATTCCTCCGCTACCATTAACGGCGGCCATCCTTTACTTGCAAAACAACCGTCTGAGTAACGCTGGGTTGCCCCCATCACTGGAACGCAGCACTTCCATACGAGTGATTTACCTCTATGCCAATCAATTGGACGAATTCCCAATACACCTTCCACCTTCCTTAAAAGAGCTCCATTTGCAGGATAATAATATACGAACGTTACCGCGATCTGCTCTTGCAAAGCTACCATTACTAGAACGCTTACACCTGGATGATAATTCTATATCCACAGTTAGCATACAGGAACGAGCGTTTTCTGGGACTCCCCGGCTTCGACTGCTGTTTCTGTCTCGGAATCACCTGTCAAGCATCCCTGCAGGCCTCCCAGCATCACTGGAAGAGCTGCGACTGGACGACAACAGAATCAGCACCATCCCCACCCATGCCTTCCGCGGGCTCTCATCCCTTCGACGTTTGGTCCTGGATGGGAACCTGTTGGCTAACACGCGCATCGCAGACGACACCTTTTCACGCCTGTCCAACCTGACAGAGCTGTCACTGGTCAGGAATGCCTTGCAGTCTCCACCCGTCAACCTGCCTTCGGCTCACCTTATTCGTCTCCATTTACAAGACAACGGAATGACCCACATCCCAAGGGGGACTCTGGATGGGATGCGGCACCTCCAGAGGCTCGACCTGTCAGGGAACAATCTGACCAGCCTTCCTCGAGGCCTTTTAAGAGACACAGAGGGCCTGGACATGCTGCTGCTCCGAGGAAACCCCTGGTACTGTGGCTGCAATCTTCGCTGGCTTCACGCCTGGCTGCACGGAAGGGGGTCAGCAGTGACAGTCAGGGGTCTCACCTGTCAGGGGCCTGACCCAGTGAGGGGTCAAGTACTCAAAGACCTATCATCGCTGATGGATCAGTGTGAGGGCCCTCCTGCTGGTCCCAGTACAGGGGCAGGGATCAATCCAGCAGAAAAAGATGGAGTCGGTGAAGATGATGTTGGGGGTGGACAAGGTATGCCTCCTGGTAGCACCATCACTACCTCTCTGTTGGTCCCCACACAAGGCTCCCTGTTCACTCTGCGAGCCAAGCGGCCTGGCCTGGTTATGCCTCTGCCTCCTGGAGAAGGAGGACAGGTATCGGGAGAGGTCGTAGAGCTGAGTGTAAAGCCTCTTTCATCGGACAGTGTACTGGTGAGTTGGCTGTGTCCACAGCCAGCACCCTCCTTCCGCCTTTCGTGGCTGAAGCTAGGTAGCACCGCAGCCCATGGTTCAATGACAGAGACTCTGGTTCCTGGAGAGAGAAGGCAGTATCTTCTTACCCAACTCACCCCACGTTCCCATTACTTCATCTGCCTGCTGCCAATGCGACAGGAGACTTCTTCTGGAGGCTCTAGCATGGGTTCATCCCGAGGTGGCAGCCCTGACACGGACAGTAAAGACTCTTCCTGTGCTCAGATAGAGACTGGAGAGGCTTTGGTCAGCTCTGGAGGGGACGGTTCGGAGAAGGAGGGACAGGACTCAGAACTCACAGCCTTGCCACTTGCTGGGATTATAGGGGGTGCCACAGCATTGGTAAGCCTGCTCTTAATCTTTGGAATCTTTTGCTGGTATGGGCAGAGATCAGGTTACATGTCAGGGGACTCGGGCTCATACAGCAGGGGCCGGGGAGGAAAAAATTACGACGACTACGAGTCTGGGACAAAGAAAGACACTTCCATTTTAGAGATTAGGGCCCCACCTGCGGGGTTTCAGATGACAGCTATGGCCCATCAACCCCTTCAGCCGAAGTTGGAGGATGTCACCTACATCCACACCATTTTCCCCTCCTCTTCCTCTTCCTCCCAAGCTAACGGGACCAACCGGAGCAGCCATGGCGCTGTCAGTCTCAATGGCACCATCCTCAGCCAAACCAGCCACCATAATGTAACTTATGGCACCAACCGTGGTTACAGAGAGGGTGGCATCCCTGACATAGATTATGCCTACACGTGATGACAGAGGGGCACACTCCCTGAGCCACGAGAGCTTCGCTGGCTAGTGACCACGCTGTCCTTGGTTTCCAAAGTACCCTCTGTGCCTCTGCTGGTTTAATTCTGATTGGTTTGCTTTGTAGAGAAGACTGACTTGAGCTATGATGACTGGACAATGCTACTGAGTGAGCTCTATTTCGACTACTGTATATTACATAATACAGTAGGACTTTACTTCAGCGCTACTTATAGTTATAAATGGTTACATTTTCTCTTTTGGATATCTCAATGTCTTTCAAACCTACTATTCTTCTCTGCTCATGATAATACACAGTAACTTATTTGAGGTTGATATACTAGGCTTAGCTGATTTAGCAGGAGATATATTTATAATATGAGGAAAAGGCACTTGATGTGTATAGAGATAGCACTCGTATCTTCCTACCAACTGTAAGCTCTGTGCTGTATAGATAAAAGAAGTAACAGAAGGAGAAATCAATGGTTGTTATAACCCACGGATGACAATGCATCATGGCTGACATGAAAAGATGTATTCCTAGCCCCCTCCTTTCCTCTGGTTCACTCCCCTCCTTTTTAATTTTTTCCTTCTTTTCACCTCTTCTTTTGGTTTTTGGCTGAGGCACTTTTCCCTTTATTTCTCTCATGTCTTTTGTGGTGCTGTGAGCAGAGGATGACTTTGTTCTCGCCAAGGGAGCTGACAGCAGTGATAACACTTCTGACAGAGATGGGAGACACAAACCACAGCATGGGAAGACTAATGAGTGGGAGAAAGAGAGAGAGTGCGGTGGGGTGATGGATGGATGGGTAGATGGAGAAAGAGAACATAAAAGACAGGGGTAGACAGAGAAGGGCGCTGTTTTGGGGCTGTAGTCGCTGAGAGAGGTGGGTGCTGAAGGCGGATACTGAGACGGAGAAGAAATAAATGGGAGACAAGTTTTTTTTTTTTTTTTTTAAAGCTGTGTGACCAATAAAGCAGCAGGCGACATAAAAGAACAAAAGGAGAAGACTGTAGCGGAAAGGAGGGCTGACAAATGGAATAGTGTGACATCATTATCTATAAAGTGGTGAAGTTTTGCCCGTAGTGTATCCACTTCACTGAACAAATATTTAAGTAACAACAGGCTGCATGCTTCTTTTTCAGTCTGTTTTGAGTTGCTCTTGATTCTCATGAGTCCAAGGATTAATTAAATAAAACAAAACATGAAACACGAAAGCTATAACTAGACAATCAAACAGTAAAATGATTGCCAAGACCACAGGGCAAATGACAACCTGCAGAACAGCTATTAAAAACTTTATCTCAGAGTTTAGCAGAGGAACTGCATGAACCCTGTTTTAATGAGGCCTGGTCTCATTATTAAATTATCTTTGCAAATGAAGAGAAAGAAACTCATACATTTGTAACGGTTTTCCATTTATCTTCTATTGGCCTTCTAAACCCTGGACATTGAAAATAAGTCAGAGCAGCTGATCATTTTCAGAGGGAAGTTGAACTGACTGGTGTAATTACTCTTTTCTGAGACTCATCCATAACAATATGTGTGTTCAAGTTTCTTGAAAAGGTTAGTTGTTTTTGTTTTCTATATTGATATTTGAGGAAAATAAAGACAGAAATTAAAAATACAATTATCCATCATAGTAAACGTGATTGTGATATTCATGTGTTGATATAGTGATTGGAAAACTGATTATACAGCAATTCACAGACAGGAAGGTGTATTACTGGATGTCTGTCAATCACATACAAAACAAACTGTATATTTCATTATAATGTTCCAATTTTTCATCAAGGTATGAAAAGAAATCTGAGATGATACAGCCACAGGTACAGTTGAGTCCAGAGTGTAATGGGTTTGGTGTTCAATCGCTCAAGTTATTATTTCATGGAAAATGCCAAACGTTTTCATTTCAGCTTTTTTGTTGCTATTCTTTGTAGAATCACATTCTAAAATGCCAATATTGATGTTTTTTAGCATAGTTAAGTGAGTAAGGAGGAAGTTTAAAGTAATAGTTTCCCACTATTTTCACATGTTTATGGACCAAATAATTAACCAGTTAAATGAAATCAACAGATCAGTTGCAGCCTTAAAAATTTCCACCATTCCATTGTCATCATCCCAGCATAAGAAAAAAGGCGTCATCTTGTTTTTAGTTGCATTTAAAGTGTAAAGTAAAATTTACTAAATGATGGTTAAATTATTATTAATCTGATAGTCTATCCGGTTACATATACTTGCGTACTCAGGTCGTCTAATTTTTAGGCCTTAGCACAGAGTTAACACAATCCTGTTTACAGAGATCTCAGCCCGACCGAAACACTGTGCATTTCAACTCAAGCACGGCCACAGGAAGGCAGCACCTTCTCTCTGACTGCCTCTAATCAACCCCACTAATAAATCACTGATGGAGGAGGAACTTCAATGGAGTATCATTAAATAGCCAGAGTTTAAAAGAGGAAGACGAGAAGGTAGAGAGGAAAGAGTAAAAAGGATGTAGAGCGGACATTTAGATAGAGCCTGTAAGTGTTGAAACCCATTCTTTCTTTCAGTAGCTCTCTTTCCTTTTCCCCCCGCCTGTGTTACTGTGTGCCCGTCATAATGGAGAGCTCCACTGTTATTTTTTTGGTTTTGTTTATGTCTGTATTTGTTTTCGGGTTTCCATTCATTCTTTGTAGAAATCCTTTTCCTTTTAAAGTCTCATCCTGAGATGTGATGATGAAAAACACTCTAATGTATAAACATAAAAATGGGTGCAAAATGCTATTCCATTTATTGGTCTGTCGTCTTTTTTTCTACGCAGATGAATAAAGACTTCTCAAAGGAAAAGCAGTTTTATGTGTTTTCTTTGTGTGCGTGGGCTTCTGCCTTGGGGTTCATCAAAGCAACTGGAAAAGCAGAAGATATCCAATAATACACTGAGGTGAACTATGAAAACAAGAATCAATGTAAGGCTCAGATTATTAATATGATTTATGACAAGACCTTGTTAAATCACACACACTCAATGAATAGATCAGCTTCTATATGATTCAATTTGGAAGAATGAGCAGACGCGTGTTTATTTGATGAGAAGTTTGCATGTTGTTGTAAGTGTGTTTGTGATGTGTCTGCGCTGCTCCGTTTGGGTGAAGACATGCTTCTCATTCTTAGTGCTAATGCTTGTGTAAGCATGGATCAATATAACGAACGCTGGAGTGCATAAGCGTCCATCTTGGAGTGGGTGCATGTGATGAACGTTTTTGTGGAGACGTGTACTTTATGCCGACCGAGACGGTTTGCTACAGCGTGCCTAATGTGACAGAATGAACAAATGACCTCAAAAGTCAAACCAAAAGATGTGATTACATATCAGCCTGTGCCAACAAGCGCTGTACTGTGAATACTGTAAATGTGCTGCTGTTGCAACTTCACATATGTGCTGTTGAACCACTACAAAGCCTTTCGCTATCGAGAACCCTAATCTTGCATCAAGCCCTCCATCTTAATTATTCTGGTTTACAATTATCAAATGAAAAGATGTATCCTCACAGAAAAAAACTGCACATTTCTTTTCAAATTGAAACTTATTCCCACACTGTGAGCACAATACTTTTCTGAAACAATGAGCCAGGGAGTAACAATTTTTAGATAAATGATTAAATATGTCCCCATTTTAATGGTTTGTTCACACAAGCCCAACAGCAATCTATCACTTCTCAATAGGTTTATATTTAATTCCTTTAGGTCCCAAATATGTGGCCTCTATTTCTATAACAAATTTGCCCACTGATGTGCAATAAAACGGTTGGTTGCATTTTAAACTCTGTGCTGGGTACGTCCTCCACCACAGCTTTGCTAAGGATGATTTAAAGCTTTGCCGTAATGTAAAATAACCTCTCAGTGCTTGCATGCATTAGAGGCTTATTTAGTCAAAGGTCAGTGTATTGAATAAATGCAGTGTTTGGCATACTTAAACCAAATGTTTGGTCTAAGTTCTTTTTGCATGGATAGTTTGGATGCAAATGTTCCAACAAATTGCCATCATCATTCAGAGCTGTCTGTTAGAGTTCTAATGCACTCCTTTCAGGCTGCAGACTGACATGGCAGCACTCAAGGTCAAAGCATCGAAAATTATACACAAATGTAAAAAAACTTTGCATAAAAATGCTATAACTTCAAATCAGAGGGTTTTGGGAGTGTATGTGTATCATTCCAGTGAGGTATGATGAACTTTTTAGTTTCCTGCCTGAAGAGTCTGTCTGCCTTTTGTTTTACTTCTTGTTTGAAATCTTTTTGGCCGCTGACTCTAAACAGCAGAAAACATGTTTAGTTTTTTTTACAAAACATTTTTGCCATGTCTTCAAGAAGACTCCAGGCTCTCTTTGTCTTTACTTTAAATCTTTTTCCAAAGACAGGAATACATTCACAATCCTGCAAATCCAACTCAAGACATTTAGGAATTTAAAACATTCGGTTTAGTTTTTTTTGTTGTTGTAGGGACTGAAGATCCCAAAAGACCACTGCAGAGCCAGAAATCTTACCCCGACATGTTTCATCTTACAGAAAAACACCCCACAAATACCCTGTGAAGTACCTTGGAGGAATGAATTTAAGGACAGCAACAACAAAACCATTAAGCTGTGGTGGTCTTTTGTGGCCGCGGAAGGAGAGGACATCAGTGGAAAAAAAGACTCAGCCTCTGGGGCATTTTGACTAAACTAACTTTATGAATTAGGCTGTCAAGCTCTCTGTAGGGAGAAAGGAGACATAACAAATCTTTTGAGAAAAGCTCTGGCATAACCAAATTGCCCTTGTACTATAACTGGCCGACTTCAATTCCCCACGCGTGTGTGTGATGCTTTAGTTTAGCTCAATTAAAGCTTATGGACTGCAGCATCTTTGTACCTTTGTGGTGGAGAGAGGACCCTTAGAAATAGAATGAAAAGCATTTACCACTTTAAAGAGTCTTTGTGATGCTCGCCTTGTCTTCAGACTTCAATTGTGTGGGAAAACAAATGGACATCCCTCCCTTGTACTGTATGATAAATTGTCAGAGATTCAGTTACATCTCCAGGCTATGTGAGCAATCTGTGAAGAGAAACAACTCTGGCAAAGGAGTGCTTGGGGCAGATGGCTCCTGCTGGATGTGCTCGTCCAAAGCTCCGTGCCGTCGCTCAAATTCGGCTTGCTACCCGCCTCTCCTGGGCTCCACTGTGGACCATACAGAGACATCAGCTCCTGTAGTTATGGCAACTTGTGATTTCTATGGAGGACTGATTCTCAGCCTCTCCTCCGCCGAGGCAGACAGATCTCAGCCAAAAAATAAATTAATTCCAGGAGCCGGGGTAAATTATTCATAACTAAGTAGAAAAGGCCACACGGAGGATAGTGATCATACCAGAGGTCCAACACGCACAGCGTGCTGCTGAACTAGTCTGTCTTTTTAGGCAACTGGTTGATTTAATGCAAAAAGTATTAGGTTAAATCCTGGAAAATAATGCCGACATTTAAACGCAGAATGCAGTCATGTTAAAAGACAGAAAGCATCAGAAACATCACAAGAGGAAAATATTGAAGAAAGATGACAATCTTCCCAGGAGTGGGTGTTCAGACAGATTACAGAACAATGCCCGAAAACCAAAAAAACATATCTCAGCCCGAAGTCCTTTGAACAGCTGAGACCAAAGCGAAGGTGGCTGGCCATGATGCACAGCTCCATGTTTGGATAAAATGAGCAGGGCATCACAGCAGAAACACCTCACACCAACATGGACACTTTGAAGCCCTGAACTCCTCTGGATACAAAAGTATTCTGAACTCAAATGTGAAGTTTGGACAACTGCAGCTTGGCTGTAGCTGGGTCATCAACAGTGCAATGATCCCAAATAAAGCACTAAATCTACAACAGAATGACAAAAAAAAAGAAAGAGACAACAAAAATAAGAAGAATTCTCAGCCTAAACAAGTTCTAAAAATCAACTGAAGAGAGTTTTAAATTGAAAGTCTTCCGCAAAGAAAGTCATTATCAATCAACCTTTCCAAAGGTGTTATGACACTTTTCTCAGCTTTTGATAGACTTTTTTTTGCCCTTTAATTAACAATTTGTACTCTGTTCTTTTAAGTCTTCTTTTAAGTTTTCTACATCAATATTCTTCAGAAGTTTCTATGTTTTTGTAGCACTTCATCCCCACACATTTTCAATAGTCAGGTCAGGTTGTTGTGGCTTAAAGCCCTGTTCCACAAACCAGCTACTTGACTTTCTTAACCGACTTGTACCGGCTGTTTACTCTCATTAAGAGGACTTTAACTAACGGTTCCACGCGGCTTCCTCGGCAAGCGCCACGTTGTTTTCTTCTATCGAAGCTAATGATGATTAAAAAGGACATTAACATTTGAATACTAACTTCGCTCCAGGGATTGTTTGCATACAACTGTGGTTCACTGGCTGACTGATCCGCCTGTCAGTCAGTCCAGCTCTGACCAGGCCTGCCCGCTAAATGCGTGCACAATAGCAATAACAGGATTTAAGTGGATAAATAGCTCCTATAAATAGTCTTGTCATTTCCTTAGCTTTGGAAATGCTGCATAGTCAACAGCATGCACATAAAGTAAGATTTCACAATGATGCCTGATAGATCGCAATTACAAGATGGTAATTGTGCAAATTGTGTGCTGTGTGTACTCCGTACCGTCTGCACGAGCGTCTATATAATTATGTGACAAAAGCATCATCGGTGATGAGGACATGCCAGAATAAAGAGAAAGACCGTTGTGTTTGCCGGTAGAGTACGAGGAAGGGGACTTGGGCATACTATGAAGCCCGTTTTGGAGGCTACAGTTATACATCCTGTGTACTTAATTCACTAAGCTATTATTACAAGGATGAGAGAAAATTGGGGCTTAATGTCAGGCTGCATTATACTTTAATATTCAAATAATACTGCCTACAATGAGGATAATCTTCTTATAATGTGTTTTTAATTTCCATGTCTAATTTATTCTTATTCCATCTTGTGTAACTTAATTATGGTCAAAATGATTTTCATGGCTCATTTAAACAAACAGATTAATTCAAGTGTCAAAAGTTTAAATGAAAAACATCAAGATATCAAAGGTGCCCAAACAAATGGATTCATGATGTGATTCAGCTGTCCTAGGCCTTTTTTTATCTTTAAGCATTTGACCTGAGCAGCTGAGGAGGTCAGAGCATTGGGTGTGCCATAAAACATTTTAATATCATTGTAATGTGCTGAGAGGTGCTCCAGGTGAAGCAGCACGGAAAAGTAAAGCAGGTCTCACAGCTCTCATCAAAAGTCCTGCTCATTTTCATATAGAAATTCAAATGACCTTTTGCATGAATGACACGCGGAGGCCTGTCAAATTTTTCATTTTAAGATTCACCTCTGATTATCTCTATTGATCGACTCCATTCTGAACTATTTGCTCAATAACTCCATCGCAGGTCTGGACTCAGTCCAGGTTTAAAGTTCAAGGTGTATTTTGTCCTTGTTCCCACTCGGTATCAAGGTTTATGTCTAACTCTCAGGTCTTCCACATTTATCATCATAAGTGGATTTTTCTTCAGTGTTTCACACTTTTTGATATGTTAAATACTCATTCTGCTTGACAATTTTGAGTTGTTTCCATCTTTTCATTTTTCATGAGAGGAAAGGTGAACCCTGGACATCTTCACCACTGAAAGGCTCTTTTGATATTCTTTTTCTAAGTGATTATATAAAAAACCTGCTGCTTTACCATTTATTGGTGGAATATTTGTAATTATACAAGTTTTTGTCTGCTTTAATTTCCTTGAGCAGCAGGATCTCATTTTTAAACAATTTATTTTGATTAAAATTTTTCTCTAAGGATAATCTGTCTTTATCATTTTATACATGTGACTCACAGAAAGTTTCTAGC